GGCAAAACCTGCTGCTTGCTGCAATTTCTCACAAGCACTCAAAACGTTTGCGGATCAAAACTTTGGACATTTTCTGGTTTTTGCATTTTATAAGAAGATATTGAAGAACATTTCTGCAAAATATCAATCACCAAATCTGAATAAAAATTACATTAAAATTATTTTTAAAATACAATTCTTAATAATAAGCTATTGATTTTGGAATCTTTGGAAGCTGTTTTCTCAAAACCTACATATCAGATATCCAATGAATTAAATACTCATAACAAATATCCTTTAAATAAACACTGTTTTAAAGAAGAATTCAAACCAATCTACAAACACAAACAACTCAATTTGCAATTTTTCTCACAACGATTCATTTTGCCAGAGCTGGTCACAAATTTCAACTTCTCACAAAGAACTATATTCCACATATTTTACATATTAATTGTTAATTACAAAGCAAGCTAGCAATATCTTTAAATAATACTGCAAAGAGAATACATTCTATAAAAATGCTAAATGCGATGAATGGCATTAAACGACTATTGTGAATGTTATAACAATTTGTAATTGTCACAAACTGTACTCGTCATCGCCATTCACAAGACGCATGTTCAAGAGTGATATCGACTGGTCATAGCAATGTCATGAGTTCAACGTCTTCTTAAATTTTTTACCAAGCTGCATTTCGTCAGATTTTTATTAACATGGACATCATTTAAGAGGGATACTGATGAAATACAACAGTTAAGTGGTTTCTATAGCATGGTAGTAAAATTGGATTTGTATTGCGCACATAACAATGTTAAGGACATGCTCAAGATACTTGATAAAATATAATGTATTGTTGAATGGTACTAAAACTAAGTTTTGAGCTCTGGTGTTGGCATACAGATGTCATGGCTTGATCTTGCAAACTAAACCCTCTCTGTGAAATTTTTTACTATAGTATACTGTATTATTAATTGTCACCCTGAAATGAGCTGGCCATGTGTATCACATGCAGAGTGAAATATAGTAAAAGTATTAGGCTCACTAAACCAGATGTCATTGAAGTTTTTTTTACCAACAGCGCATCATTCTCCTCTAATCCCAAAAATCTGAGAAACATATTTTTACATTTGGCCTCCAAGTCATCAGTGGCGTATCTACAAGTTTTGAAATTGGAGGGGGGAAGGCTGATGGGGGAAGGCTGATGGAGGAGCAAAAGTGAAGTGAGTGAGTTTGGTAAGTGAGGGGGTAACTGGCAAAATAAAGTGATATGAAGTGATCTTTATACTTGAGTATAATGTTTTCTTTTGCTGCAAAAATATCCAATGAGGGAAGGGAGGAATATTTAAACTTTTTTTTGGGCGGGAATTCATGTGTCCCCCACACACACCCATAGATATGTGCAAATCATCATTATTATTACATTATAATTATTCTTTTTACTACCAATGATACCTTTTAGTAATTACCACTATCATTACAAAGGGCAACTGAAATACACTTTGCCTACTTTACCTTTAATTTGCTTAAATCAACTGATTCTATTGAACTATATGAAGTACTTACATGAATTATTGACCAGTCAACAAGGTCAATCAACTGCAATTAAAGCAGTGTTTTCATTTCTAGAGACCAATATAGGCTATTAAAAATAATTCTAACTGTAGAAATTTTGCATGGATGGTCTGTCTACAGTTCAGAGCAAGTACATCGCAGCGGTTTTCCATGTGCTAATAGAAAATTAGTGCACGAAAGAGCCACTAGTGCATAAACAAAATTGCTTAAACACTGACTAATACAGCATAACTAGGCAATGTGTGAGAACACAACTCTGATATACATAAAATAATAAAAATATATAGTACTGTAATATAAAATAAAGGAAATTCTGATGACAATGAATTTAAGTAGCATGGTGATAATGTAACTTGGGGAACTCAATAGTATTTAATTCTGACTGTGTTCGATTTCCCAGCTTTCGTTTGAGCATGTTATTTACTCCGTGTTAACAACATAGGCACACTCCCGAGGGTGGATTCAACATATGTCAAGAGCAGTTAATCGAATCACTGAGAGGACAATTCTGCTTCAGAGGGAAGTAAAAAAGTGAGTTCTTTCTGAGCCACTAGGGCTCATAGGGCTGGAGCTCATCCCCAGTTTCCGTAGTGTGAAGCGAATGAAAGTGATGCTCAGACGGAAGTAGATATGAGTTAAATCATGATGACCACCAAACACATGGGAATGGCTTGGTAGGTAACATGCTTGCCTTCCAATTTGAGGATCCTGGATTCAATTCCTGGGACAGAAGGATTTTTCCACATATCTAAAAACAACCTAAGCCTCAATGAGGGACAGTTTATAAGGCAAAACTGGGTACTGGAAAGGTTGCACAATCCATCACTTTCCTATTCTCTGTTCCTCTCTTCCTTCTGAAGATTCTACAGTACTGTCCTGTGTCTCTTAAGGCAGGTTTTGCATTCATCTCATAAATGTCTTATCGCGCTTTTATGTAATTTTATCAATTTGTTAATAAATAATAATAATATAATTTATATTTATCTTGGCCTTTCACTTTTTTGATCTTTTATTTTTATATTATAGCTAAGCATGTTTACTGGAGCTCCTTTGTCATGGTGACTTTGTTGCTCTTGGGGCCCGAGGCACTCAGTCTGAATAAAAAAATCAAAATGAAATGAAATATAAAGAACAAATTAATTAATAATTACATTGAAAGCTGATAATTATACAAAGTGAGCGTTTCAAGGGGTTAGGATAGGATAGGAGTGTTTTTGGTGTGAATCACACCAAGATAAACCTACTACTGTAAGTCCGAAGACTTGTTTCCAGTGCGGTCCTTCTAGTGGAGAATTTGGCAGTACACTGGGATACAATTCCCTACTCTTTTCCGAAGAGTGTACTGCGTTCTCTAACAGGCACACGGGTCATATTGCGCATGACACCAATGGCTTAAATGTCTCATCTGAAAGATGGTGTGCTACCGTAACTTGCATTTCAGCCCTCCAGTTGAGCTGACTGTGCTAAAGCTGCTCTCTATAATGATGAGGGTAAGCTTACATCTGAGGAACTCTAATAACTATCTGAGTGCAATGCAGCAAAGCAACTCTCCCCAGGAAGAACCGAGGATGTTGCGCCGATTTGTCAACTTATAGATCCAATGACCAACGGTAACAACGTTATACTGTAGTTTTGATGCTGCCTTCCAAATGTGAATGGTGTTTCATAAATCCCAACATCATTACATCAATCAATATCACATCAAATGGAAGTCAGAACATTTTTCAAGTCATGTACTGCTGTGTTTAATTACCTTGAAATTAGTGCTTGCTATTATAACTCACTTATTAGAAAGGTTAAAGGTATAGTAAAGTATAACCTAGACCACAGGTTCAGTACATCAAATACACAGGACATTAAAGGATATTTAATTTTTTCAGGCGAAAGTGGATGAATGTTGACCTACATTACTTTGATAGTCACTTTATATACATCTTGGTATCTTTGTTCAATATTTGAACATACAAAATTTACAAAATAAAAAATCCTTAGTAGCCAAAAGCTAAATTGAGGATTTAGATTAAAATTTACATGCAAATATATTATATAACATTACAAGTCAATATACAAAAATATTTATATTTTACAATAATTATTTATTTACGTTATATTTAATATTAATATTATTATTAATAGAGGTAGGTAATTTACAAAAAGCTTGTTTCTTCCTTCATCCATGATAAGTCATCTTTTTTAAAAAACATTACTATAATGTGTAACATCAAAAAGAAAAAAATTGATTTATCTAATCGTCGTAAATGTCATCGTGTAGATATTATGCTTTAGCAGGTGGTACATTTTATATTCAAGAACTACCATATATGGGCACTTGTCTTGAATAATGGTTTCAAAAGTGATGTTAGGCTTCATCTCATATCTTTTCACATAATGTATTTTACTGGATTTTGGTATTTTTACAATGATGGATTTTATAACTGTATGTATTTTAACGATGTAATTTATCAAATTTGTTGCAAATTGGTTATTCAAAATATCTAAAATCTCACTAAACATTTCCAACCAAAATAATAAGAAATTAGATATTAGAATGAGTCATTTAAATGATGTTTCGCCTACTCCAACCTCAATCTTAATCAAAATACATACTAGAAGAATATATTCGCTAACTTCATAAGTCTAGAATGGAAAATCCAATTTGAGGGCTTAGATTAGGAAATAGTTTGGATTTTCTGTGGGTCCTAGGCTGGACTTACCATCCTATATGAGCCAGCAGGCTTACTATACTGTACTATCGTAAACACTGTTTGATTAAAGAAAGCTACCTGAGACTGACACGACAATAAATCACATGAAAAGGCATCCTATTGTTACTCTGGAGTAACTTATTTGAAACATAATATCTAAACCCTTAGCAAATGGGATAAGCCTGTGTTGTATAAATTCATTACTTATAGCACAAAATCATTTTATATAGCATCAAGCAATCTTAAAACTAAATAAAATTAACAAAAGCTTGCATGCGTAACAGTTTGTCCACAATATAATGAAATTTTTTTTTAAATTCCTGTCCGAAGGACGAATGCACAGCTAGTACGACATATAATTGTGATATGCCCATATTTGGGTTACTTCGGAGCATATCATTTGAAAAGTAATGAACTATTTAAACCCTTAGCAAACAAGCATGTGATGATCCCATGTGTTGTAATAAATCATTATTTATATAGCACAAAACAATCATTTTACATAGTATCATGCATCTTGAAATTATAATAAAATGATCAAAGCTTGCACGTGACAAATAACTGTGACATGCCCATATTTGGATGAAATATGACATCATCATGCCCATATATGGGCACATCACACAAATTTGATAGTGGGGATAGAGCTTTAACATAAGAGATCGTATTTGAGTTGGGATTTAAATGAAGCCAACTGCTAGTGAAAATGTTAACTATGAATTGAGGTAATGAGTTCCATAATACAGCAGCGTACACACAAATGATCGATGTACTTAGATTATTCTAAAATACTAATACACTATTTAAAGATTTTACTGCCTTTCTGATAACCTTTCTTACTGTGGAATAAATATGTATTAAAGCTAACTACATCAGTTACTGAATGGCCTTTTTATTTTTGCTGTATATTTTTGTGTCTGTTTTCTTACTTTAAAATGTTCAATCATGATTTTTTTAAAACCATTAATGTACCTGTGATCATTATGGAATAAATGATATATTATTAATCTTCAATGAATAAAAGTGATTAAAACTGTTATTTTTTTTTTTTTTAAATCATGATTATTTAAAACCAATAATATTCTTTTGATCATTATGGAATAAATTATAAATGTAATCTTCAATGAATAAAAATGATTAATAACTGTTATATATTTGTAAAAAAAAATAAATATCTATGTTATTAAACTGAAAATAAAATAATTATTTAATAAATAACAAAATTATTAATGATCAGTAAACTAGATCTGAGGGCATAAACCAAAAATTAGAAATTCTAAACATTCCTAAGAAATCAATACAACAGGAATCCAATTTCATGGTTGTCAAAGGTTAACAATTACCAAATAGTTGCCATTATAACATTTAAATTTATTAATAAATAATATAATTATTGTATCATTCATGAATAGATATAAATAAAATCAAGTAACCATTCTAGTTTAAAAAATGAGAGTAACACAGAATGTAATTCTTTGTTCATTTAAGTGTTGTAAATTCAACTGGAATGGAAATTGTCGATATGCTTGTAATTACACTAATCGCCATTAATAACCAGAGCTGTTGCCATGCCAACATCACTCCTGTACATCTGTTGTTAGTATCGAACAAGAGAGAACATGATAATCTTTGAACGACACAAAGACGTGAATTTTCATATCATTGAACATAATGTTCAAGCAATGAACACATATCTTATCTCTGTAAATCTAAAAATGATGTGGTTTACAACAACTAATGGGTTTTTTTTATATACTGCGTCAACTTGGCATTCTTTACAAGTCAGCTGCTAGAATTCAAAATCTTTATTCCCAGTGAAATTACAATTCAAACACTGCAGTCCATAACATATTTTATAACAGTAGCTTTCATGTAGAAATCCTGTTTTATTGTCAAGAATATTGAATGGAAAGAAACGTACCGTATTTACAAATGGCGATATCTCCAACTACTATTTCCGCTACAATGATTTGCTTGATGTCACCGGCTCGTATAACCGACATCTTATGTTCTTGATCAAGTTTATCTTTGAGGCCGCGAAATTGGCGTTCTTTGGAGTAGTCGTTAAAAGCTGTAACTAAGACGACGATAAGAATTGCAACAAGAATCGCGACACCTTCAAACCATTCTGCCTTCTCCTCTGTACTACTACCACTACTATCTTCACCTGTGAAAAAAATGTATATAGTATTTATTTACTTAACAACTTCCATGAGTTACAATAAAGAATACAATTGAGAAAAACAGAATTAGAATGAGGCGAGTAGTATCGTCTATTTCTCATTCAGTTGGATATTGGTTGTTGTAGGCTAACAGCCCTGCCAGTGATGGCGCCAGCAGGGGCAGGTGGCTTAAGCCCCCCCCCCCGGAGAGGTCAAGCCCCACAAATCGGACAGAGCTCATCGGGCAGTCATACCATAAAAAATATAAAAATAGGCCAACACTAAGCCAACACATCTGTCACAGTATGAGAGTGCCATTTCCAACCATCCAGAGGTTCCTATTCTTAAAAAAATCTCATTTGGGATGAGGGACCCCTCTCAAACCCTTCTCCCAGCTTGGGCCTGCAAGCTCAAGTCCCCCTGTCAGCTGTCAGACAGCTTAGCGGCCCCCCTCCCAGAAATTAATGCCACTGATACCACGATTGGGGAAAGGAGGTGGTAATATAATTTTTAATATTTTTTTCCCCAAAAATATTAAAAAGTAATTTTTCTTTGCTGAGCAAGTTTAAAGTGAAAAATTTTCTGGGGAGAAGTGCAACCTTAATCAAAACACCAATTGGTTGGAAACATCAATTACCAAACTATGTAAAGATATTAGGAATATTATGCAACAGGATCTGAATATAATACTTAATTCATGCAAAAGGCATGAATTAACTAGTGACAGATATTGTACTGTAGGGGAAAGGTTGTCCAAGAAATTGATGACGTAGCGTATTCATTACCGTTTTTGTAAGCTTAAAAAGACTTACCACTTTTTGGAATAAATGAAAGGCCTAATGAGACAAGGGCAGCTATTATCAACATGATCAGTGTTACATCTTGAACGGCTTCCCACATGAGCCGCAAAAATGTTTTTGGCGGTTTCGGAGGAATTAAATTCTTGCCATACGTTGCCACTCTGCGACTCAAATCAGTTGGCAGCCCCCTTAATCCTAGTGGAACAGAATAGAAAATAAATACTTTTAGACATTAATTAATGTAATCAATAGACATGACTGGAATAACACACCTGTAACCTTTACTAGATTTTTACACAAACTCACCAAGGGATGCAAAGTATTGGAAAATGAAAGTGAAACTCAGTTTGTTGGAAAAAGAAGGGCCTAAAACTCAGTTTTATGGAAGTCGGTCATTTCTCTGTGCCTCAGTTGCTCATTGGAATGACTTATCTTATCTTAATTCAACAAAAAACTAAAATTAACACAGTCAAAACACATCTTTTTAATTTAAATTTTGCGTAACTACAGATTTTTATTTCTAATGTAAAATGCATTGAGGTTTTAGCAAGACTTACCAAAACAAATTCAACAAGCAACTAAAATATACACAGTCAAACAACTACTCAAAACACATTCTTTTTAATTTACATTTTGCGTAACTACAGATTTTTATTTCTAATGTATAAGCGCATTGAGGTTTTACCTAAATGCGCTCTAGATGAACTATTATTATTAAGAGGCCTTCTGATTTAAGGCAGACCATAGATGTTTAATAAAGTTTAATTGCTTGGAAACTGAGCAACTTTCTTTTTTAATCTGTTTGAAAGTTTTATGCCCTCCTTTTTCCAACATGTATAACAAAATCAATGAAATAATCATTGATTGGTCCCTGAATATATAGTTTAGGCTTGAATTTATGAAATGCACTCTACAATTAATTTCAAGTATCATTATTAATATAATTCTAATACCTGTAAAGTAAATAAACGTTTTTTAAGGAGATGAACCTTAGAAAAGGTGATCTTTTCAGAAATTCTATTGTACAGTATTGTATTAGAAGCACATACAATATTTAAGATAACAACTGTTGAGTTTAATTCCTCATTTTGGCAGTCCAATATAGTAGAATGATCTCTATTTCTGGGCTGTCTTTTTCTTACAGTTTATAGCGCGTGCTTCACCCCATACCCAAATCATTACAGTACTGATTACAGGACCTTCTACATCTCCTCGCGTGGGCCACGAGAGTGATTGGCGTGGGACTCGCGAGTGATAAGCTAATGAATAACTAATGACTAAGTGACCTATATGACATCTGTTTATCCAAGCATTACGGCATTGAGTAAAAATCAGGCTCCGCGAACCGCTACCTATTTCTTGATACCAACGATGTTGTTTATTACCAGACAAAGGAGGGCTTGCCCTAATTAAGTATGCAAGCAACGCTACGGTAATACATCGCAAATAAACTGTCTGTACATCGTTAGCTTCGGTGAATTCCAGTACATCGACTGTATCATTATTATTCTATGTAGATCGGACGATCGTTACAGTATATTAGAAACTTACGAATGTTACAAACATATACAAAAATATACAGAATACAGTATCAT